TTTACCTCTGCTTTGAAAGCTTTATTTCTGGGTATAATACTGTGAAAAGCTCCTTCTCCCCTTAATATGGGACTGAACCTGTGCTAATCTTGACTCACCGGTTTTCCAGACATACTCAGATGGGTCTGAATTCCATCTTAGTCCCCAAACTGTTCTCCCAAATAGGTGATGTAATAAAGTGTTTAATTTAGAAGACTTTATTTAAGACTGGTTTATTTAGAAATTTATTTAGCAAAGCATGCAAGGAAAGGAAATAATACAGTGGTATATTGCTGACAATGGATAGCACTAGCCTAACTTAGAGGTTATTTTGAGGATTAAAACACCAAAAGTAGGGCGTCTGGATGGCTCAGTCAGTTAAATGTCCGACTCTTAGATTAGCTCAGGTCATGATCTTGCAGTTGTGAGATTGAGTTCTGCATCTGGCTCCACACTGACAGCGTGGAGCCTGCTTGGCATTCTCTCTTTTCCTCTCTCTCTTGCCCTCCCTCCCTCTCTCTCGCTCAAATAATAAATAAACTTAAAGAAAGTAAATAAAACACCAAAAAGTGCTTTCAGTAGTGCCAGTCACAGTGTAAACACTGTCATGGTCACTTACTGTAGAATTTACAGCCTAACGTTATTATTTGATGATATCTTTTAATAGACACCGGGATTTAGAATTGGAGATTACTGGGTTCTAGCCATTCTATTATTTATGTTCAAAGTTTTAAAAAATACAATTTTAACTGCCATTCATAATTTACTTAAAATGGTAAAATCCTTTCCCTCCCTTCGCAGAGCACAGTCATAAGCATCTGAGGAAGTAGGACGATGAGGGCAGGGAGTACTCCATGGAGAGCCCTGCAGCAGGGAAAGTGGGGGTGATGGTATAGTGGGAGTGGGGAGGGTGTAGAGGCAGCCTGAAAAAGAGGTGGCTGGAGTAGAGATTGGTTGCATTGAGCAAATGTATTAATTGAGCAAATAAGTAAATAGATTGGGAGTAATGGGAACTAGATTTCTCACTATCTGAAAAGAAATATGCAAAATTTGGAAGGGATAGGCTAGAAAGAGACTGGAAGTATTGGATTGGAATTAGATTTACTGGTATGAACATGTGGGTTTTTCCAATATAGAGACATATAGAAATGACAGGTGTATGTGTGTGAAAACACGTATGTATGTGTACACACACACACACACCTGTATAGTTTTTCTATCTGCCAAGAAGACCCAGAAGCAGTGACAACCCCTTAGCTGTGAGCACACTGTGTTCAGATTTTGGTTTCTAAATACTACACTCCAGTGAAAGGAATAAGGGCTTCTTTGGGGGATATGACTGATTTTAGGACTGGGACAGAGAAAAGTATAAGATGGACCCAGGACTCCTTTTTGAACCAGAAAGTAGGGGATCACTCAAGAAGACATATCAAAAGGTACAGGGGTCAGGTAGAAGGGGCCTCTGCTGGTCAAATGTAGGAAATTTGGGCATTAATATAATTAATGAGAGTATTGGATACAAGTCACGACATAAATAGGAATATACGTGTGTGCATGTGTGTGTCCCTGCTGGCATCTGTGCGTACATGGCATGCACATGTCTATATATGTGTGTATCTATGTACAGGCATACCTTGTTCTATTGTGCTTTGCCTTTTGGAGCTTCACAGATACTGCATTTGTTACAAATTGAATGTTTGTGGCAACCTATGTCCCACAAGTCTACTGGTGCTATTTTTACAATAGCAGTTGCTTACTTGGTGTCTCTGTCTCAGGTTTTGGTAATTCTTGTGATATTTGATACTTTTTCATTATCATTACATTTGTGATGCTGATCTGTGATCAGTGGTCTTTGATGTCACTGTCATAATTGTTTTGGGGTGCCACAGATTGTGCCTGTATATGATAGCGAACTTGAAGAATATTGTGTGTTCTGACTGCTCCACTGACCAACTGTCCTGCACCCCCATCTTTCTCCCTCACCTCAGGCCTTCCTATTCCCCAAGACACAGCAATATTGAGATTGGGTCAGTGAATAACTCTATAATAGCTTCTAAGTGTTCAAGTGAAAGGAAGAATCACACATTAAAGCAAAAGCTAGAAATGTTTAAGTTTAGTGAGGAAGACATGTCAAAAGCCCACAGGGGCTGAAAGCTATGTCTCTTGTGCCAAACAGCCAAGTTGTGAGCACAAAGGAAGCTTTCTTGAAGAAAATTAAAGGTGCTGCTCCACTGAACACATGAATAATACGAAAGTGAAACAGTTGTGGGGTGCCTGGGTGGCTCAGTTGGTTAAGCATCTGACTGGATCTCAACTCAGGTCTTGATCTCAGGGTCATGAGTTCAGGCCCTGCTTTCAGCTCTGTGCTGGGTGTGAAGCCTATTGGGGGAAAAAAAGGTGAAACAGTCTTAATGCTGATACAGAGGAAATTTCAGTGGTTTGGACAGAAGCTCAAACTGGCTACAACATTCCCTTAAGCCAAAGACTAATCTAGAGCAAGGCCCTAACTCTCTTCAATTCCATGAAGCGTGAGAGGAGTGAAAAAGCTTCAGGAGAAAAGTCAGAAGCTAGCAGAAGTCGGTTTGCGAAGTTTATGGGAAGAAGCTGTTTCTATAAGAGAAAAGTGCAACATGAAGTAGCAAGTGCTGCTGGAGAAGCTGCAGCAAGCTATCCAGAAGGTCCAGCTGAGATAATTCATGAAGGTGGCCTCGTGATACAGCAGATTTTCAATGCAGACGATGCCTGGCTTCAAAGGACAGGCTGGCTCTCTTGTTAGAGGCTAATACAGCTGGTGACTAAGTTGAAGCCAGTGCTCATTGACCATTCTGAAAATCCTAGGGCCCTTAAGAATTAGGCTAATTCTAGTCTTACCTGTGCTCTGTAAACGGAACAACAAAGCCAGATGCAGCACATTTATTTACAGCATAATTTACTGAGTGTTTTAAGCCCTCTGTTGAGACCTAGATGCCATTAAGAACATTTGTGATTCATGGGAAGAGGTCAGAATACCAATATAAGCAGGAGTTTGGAAGAAGCTGGTTTCAACTCTTATGGATGACTTTGAGGGGTTCAGGACTTCAATGGAGGAAGTAACTGCGGATGTGGCAGAAATAGTGAGAGAACTAGAATTAGAAGTAGATACAGCCTGAAGGTGGGATTGAATTGCTTCAGTCTCATGATAAAACTTTAACAGAGGAGTTATTTTTATGTATGAGTAAAGAAAATGGTTTCTTGATATGGAATCTATCCTGGTGAAGCTGCTATGAAGATTTGCTAAAATGACAACAAAGAAGTTAGAATATTCCATAACTTTAGCTGATAAAGCAGCAGCAGGGTTTGAGAGGATTGAGTCCAGTTTTGAAAGAAGCACTGTCGTGGGTGAAATGGTACCAAACAGCACTGCATGCTTCAGGGAGATTTTTCATGAAAGGAAGAGTCATTTGATGTGGCATGTATCATTGTTGTCTTACTTCAAGAAATTGCCACGGTCACCCCAACCTTCAGCAACCACCATCCTCATCAGTCAGCAGGCGTCAACATCAAAGCAAGACCCTCCACCAGCAAAATGATTGACTCACTGAAAGCTCAGAAGATGGTTAGCATTTTCTTTTAGCAATAAAGTGGTTTTTATTTAAAATATGTACATTTTAAAGACATAATTCTATTGCACACTTAATAGACTACAGCATAGTGTAAACAGAGCTTTTGTATACACCAGGAAACCTAAAAATTCATGTGACTTGCTTTATTGCTATATTCGCTTTATTGCAGTGGCCTGGAACCAAACCCACAATATCTCAGAGGTATTTATGTGTATAAATATTCTACACACAGATGCACCTTCAGAAAGAAGTGAGCGTTGGGAGTTGTCACTAAGCAAAGTGACAAAGGAGGCAAATAAATAAAATCAGGGTAAGATGAGTATTAAAATGGGGACAAGAAATCCTGGAGGCTTGAGAAACAGGAAGGGAAGAGAGAACTGGCGTTAACAAATGAGTTCCACCCTCCCTGCAATCCTGTGTTTTGTTCTAGCACATAAAGTTTATTTTTTTAACTCTCAGCTTGTTTTTTTTAAAACAAACTTCTGAAGATAAGTTTTCCCCTTTGCAGTCTGCATTTATCAGACTCCTCTTCTCCTAAAGAATGTGTACCATTCTACCATTTTTCTATTCTAGGACCCTCGGTAACCTCTTTCCTTGTAGGGAGGAGAGGGGAGGAATTTCAATAAAAGTTTTTTATCTCTGCTTGTCCACAGTTTCACATCAGCAGTTTTTTGGTGTTAATACAATTATTTTAGAGTGTGGATGAAAGAAATGTCCAGAAACTTGGTGGTGCTGACTCATCATGCTTGCCTTGGTAATTTTGTCACTTCACCTTGCATATACGTTTTCAGGGTAGCCGTTTGACAGAGATATTGGCATGCTGAGTCTCCTGGGTTTCAGAAATGTGATTTGTCTCTTCAGATAGCAAAGACATTATTTGTACATGAAATTCCGCCCCCCCCCCTTCCTTTATCTGAGAAGAAATATCATTTCAACTGCAATTGCCATGACCTGGAGAAGATGACCTCATATTTATTAGTTTGCAGAGCAGAATTAAGTTTTTCAGATTCTGAGTACTTAATACTGCTGGTATATTAACAAAGAGTCAGGTTGATTGTGCAAAGGAAAGACTTCCAATATATTTTATGACCCATTTTTTTTTAAATCTAAGATTTAGTAATATTGTGAGACATGGAGGTAGGAATTCTTACATTGAATAACACAATTATTCTTGGTGTTAGAAAGCTTCGAAAGTAATCCCTACTTGGCTTATTAGACTCCTATTAGCTATTTTACTAGTAATATTTTTCTTTGAATGACAATCTTAAAGAGACACACTGGAAGGGATGGGTATACCTTGAGAAGTTTATAGAAAAATTCTACAAATTTAATTATACTTATCCAGAGGCTTAAAAATGTACATCCAAAACACATGAAAACTGAAAACATATATATATATATATATTTTATCTATTTCAGACACGGAATCGTTTTGAAGGAACAAGGTCAGAAGTGGAAGAACTTATGAACAAAATCAGACAGAATCCCAAGGACCACAAACGAGCAAGTCAGTTCACAGCAGAAGGCTACCTGTATGTACAGGAAAAAAGTAAGAGGACCCCAGCAATGATGAATGACTGATGAAAAATTATTTTAAAACTCTTACTGTAATTACTCGATTTTTGGAATAATTATTCCTACCACTTCCTCTGCCCCCTCCTGTCCTAGAAGGTATATTTTATATTTGGGGGGAAAGCACATTTCTGCTCTAGGGAGGGGACCCTGAAATGAAGAACTCAAGATGCACCCTGTTTTCTAGCTGCACCCCCAAATTCTGTACCATACTTTGCTAACGCTTGTGAGGATGCCGGAACATGGTGTAAGGCTGAAAGCAAGGCGAGGTATTATCTTTTTCCTCCTTTCCCTTCACCCCCCTCCTTCTCACCTACGCATACACATAGGCACATTCATATACATATGCACACCCTCCTCCTCCCACAACTCCTTTTCCATGTTAAAGTCAAGAGGGACATATTCCTCCTATTCCTTCACGTCATTGCTTTCCACACCAATCTGAGATCATTTGTTCTTGCTAAAATTATCAGGGTGATTGCAGATGGCTATACAAAATATTCCTAGGTGGCATCCTAACTTATCTCACTGCATTTTTAGTATTGTTGCTCTCAGTGAATATGCAGTGCATAGAGTGTCCTTATTTTGAAAATTAAGGCACCTAAAAATTCTTTAAAACTTTTGACAGTTTGGTCTTATTTTAACTGTTCAGCTCTTAAACTTTACTTCTTCAACTGTAGAACCCGAGTACTATGTGGTAGAAAGGAGGAGAATGTGAAAAGGTTTCTGTATTTGCTATCTTCCTGCCTCCCCACCCTTGACCGCTGTCAGAGTACTTAACAATTTTCACTGAGCGTGGCTGATTTACAGGACTTTCAAACTGACCACTGTAGTAGGAGGGCATACTCGTGGGCTAGCTATGGGATATCTGTGCTTCAAGTTGAAGCTAATGCATATGTAGTCGGCAGAGTGGTTGTTCTTTTTCTCTCTGTCCTTATGTAATCTGGACCTCCATACTCTTCACGTCTCATGAAGAGGAGTTACATGATGAGCAGAACTCTATTTTTCTGACACTTCAGCTTTTTAATCTGTTTGTTCAATGAATTTGAAAGGACTAAATTAACATGTAGGGTAGAGACAGAAGGATAGAATTTTTGTATTATATGCCCAAGTGAAAATCACAGGAAACTTTAATTTTTAGATTCGTAACTGTTGCCCAGCTTAACTGGCTTTGAGAGGAATTGGGCTGAAACTAGTTGGAAAAACAGAATGAAAACAACAGTGGCAAAATTCTCCTCTTGTTAACTGTGTGCCAGGCACTGTGCGAAGCTTGTTATACACCTCACTTAGTCCACTAAAAAACCCTATGAAGTGTATGGGGCTATTATTGCCCCATTTACCATTGAGAGAATGAAAATACCATTGAGAAAATAGAGAGGTAAATAATGTTCTTTAGATCATACAAGTCTGAATGCTGGCATTGTCTGTCTGTGTCGTGCTCTCTAGTGTATTATCTGGACCATGGACGGTGTGAAAAGCCTATATACTTGGGTCAGATGGGAGTCAGGAAAGGATGCTGGCTTAATTAGTGGGGAGACCTTGTTATGTGGGGCCAGAGACTCAGATTTGAGGTTAGGCTTTGTCATTTCTTGGGCATTTGGTCTAAGCTTAAATTTTTTTTTTTTTTTATTAAAAAGATAATACGCCATCCTCCCTCAACATTTTTTTCTTAGGAATGAAATATCTGTACAATATATTTTGAACCATAGAATAGGATACCAAGCTAGCTATTCCTAACACACACACACACACACACACACACACACACCCCAGTGGTTCCTGAATTCTGGTTTTTGCACTCATGATGGTCTGAGGTGGGATTACTGTGGTCTGGTAACCCCTTTCAACCCTCTACTGTCCCCAAGACAGTGTGGTCAGTTTTTCCTAAAGCTTGGTGGATTCCTTTTGAATGAGTCCCTTTTTCCCTCCTAAGCTTGTCCTTCTTAATTTTTAGATATAGAAAGTTTACTTGTTTGTAGATGAAATTATGGTGACAACACAAGTTACTTACTTTTTATTTTTTTAATATAATTTATTGTCATATTGGTTTCCATATAGCACCCAGTGCTCATCCCGACAAGTGCCCTCCTCAGTGCCCATCACCCACTTTCCCCTCTCCCCCACCCCATATCAACCCTCAGTTTTCTGTATTTAAGAGTCTCTTATGGTTTGTTCCCTCCATCTCTGTAACTTTTCCCCCCTTCCTCTTACTTTTTTAAAGTTTATTTATTTTGACAGAGAGAGAGAATGATCGCATGCATGTGAGTGAGCACGAGAGCAAGGGAGGAGCAGAGGGAGAGAGGAAGAGAGAGAATCCCCAGCAGGCTCCATACTGAGCCTGATGTGGGGCTCAATGAGGTCATGACCTGAGCCAAAATCAAGAGTCAGATGCTTAACTGACTGAGCCACCCAAGAGCCCTGTTACTTGCTTTTTTTTTTTTTTTTTTAATGTCTTTACTTGGTAAAAGACAAAATAGTCAACCTCTGGGTGACCTAACTTGTGTTATAATTGTACTTTTATTGGCATGTGAAACTCAAGATTGCTAGGTACTCCTTATGTAGACCACTGTCTTCTAAGAGCTCTGATGGTGATAATATCGACTCTACAAGGGGTAAAGAGTGGTTCTGAGAATGTTCTGGTCAGATGTAGATAGCACCTCTCCGTTCTTCATTTTTCAATTTAAAGCTTACCTTTACAAAGCATCATTAGTAAGGGCAGCTACCTACCAGGGTGCTAGAGTGGACTCAGAACTCCTGAGATGCTAGATTCTGTGATTGTATCGTATTGAGAGGCCAGAACCGAATCCAGAACTATCACATACATTGAATGGAATTGTTGAAACCCTTGTGAACTCTTAATACCTAGAAATAAACAAAAAATATAGTTCACAATTAAGACATTTTTAGGTGTGAGATATAATGGTGTGGCAAACTGAGAAGTATGTCTTTGACTCACTGCTCTGTTGCTAAAAAGTATTGCATTTTCTCTCAAATGATCTCTCTCAGGCTTATTTGCCCTACTTTTTTTTTTTTTTTAATTGGAGTCCACATCGTTGCTGGTTTGTTTCCTTGAGCTGTGTTACTTGCTGCTTATTTTTTTTTTTTTTCCTCTATAGTAATGCGTTTGGCACTCTGTGTATCTGCTTATTTATGAGGAAAAAGGTAAAGATCTATTTCTTCTTGAAGGGCCTGCTCCATTTGGTTCCAGTTGGGTCAAACACTACTGCATGTATCGGAAAGCAGCCAAGAAGTTTAACATAATCCCATTTGAGCACAGATCTGGGGGAAAGCTTGTAAGTATTTGATTATGTATTTTTGTATTCTGTGTGACAGGTAGTTTTTTGAGGCTGACATTTTAATGGTGTATATATTCATTAATGGTAAATATACTGTATCTTGTTTTTAGGATTCAGATCTTTGTTTTCTTTTGTTCCTAAATGAAATAGGCCAATAAATAACAGCCCTTGTGGTTTTTGAATTGTATGTGTGGGTTTTTATGGTCAGGACTAGAATCCTTTTATGTCCAGTATTATTAGAGGATGTAGTGAACACCTACGAGAAGCTTTCACGACTCAGTGTTCTGCCAGGTCAGTGTTCACACAGATCGGATGTGCGCACATGTTATTCACAGCCTGAAAACATTATACAGTAGGTAATCTATAATGAATCATATTGTTTTCCATTTAGATGTACAAAGTTCTCACTTAGGCAGTTCCCATTTATTTCCCACAGAAATAAGTAGCAAAACAACACGTGATAGCAAGAAAACCTTAGGAGTTTGCTGTGTAAAAATGATGATCATTATTTGGGTTTTAAATAGAAACTGCAACTCATAGCAATAATCTATAGTCTGGAGACAAAGCTCTTCCACCAGTATTGAATGTAATTGGTAACACCAATTTACAGTTTAAAAAAAAAAAGGTGAACTCATTGCTTATCTGGGTGGATGGGTATGATTTTGCTTTGGTGAATACAGAATTAACCCAGGTTCACTTCTATTTACGTATACTTTGCATCTTTCTGAAAAATGTTTAAAGCAGCTTATAATATAAACATAGTTATGTAATAAACATGGAAAATCAGGGCCGTGGAGAAGAGGATATCACTCTTT